TCCTCCTCCAAGGTACGCATATAGTCGGCCACATGCTGACCAAAGATATGAGCACGGTGTACATCGGCGTTGAAGCTCTTGGTCTCGGCAGAGTAGCCTGGGAAACGTTTTACCGAGTGGGGGATGTTCAGACCACCATCGACAGCACCCTTCATGGCGCCAAACACACGGGCACCAGTGGTGGTGCGTGCCAAGCCCACATCCAAGTAGCAACGGAATGCTCCTGGTCCCTCATCGACGGGCTCAACGTTGAATTCTTCACCGGTAACCTCGGTGCAGCCAGCGTACAAAGAGTCCAAACCCAACTTGTTGAGCAGACGACGTGCAACGAGAAGACCCGTGCAGTAGGCGGCGGCGTAGTTGGTCAAACCCACCTGTAAGTATTGTTGCAAGAATAAGTTTTCATTTTTTATTTTATTATAGTTTCAATAGACTTACCTGGATGCCATAGTTGGGTAGCTCATGCGAGTAGGCAGAGCAGACAACACGATCGCCCTCAATGCGAGCGTAAGCGATTTGAGCGGTGATGTCCTTGTTGGACAGACGCACAATCAAACGGTACTTGGGCGTGTTGTACTTATTCTTGTCCTGGAAAATCAAACGCTTTCTGGCATAGTAATCGGTTTTGCCCTCACGGCGCCTGCGGAATTTAACCTGGTAGCGCTTGAAGTACTGCTTGTTCTTGACTACCTTGACGAAACCCTGTTAACATACAAAAAAACACAAATTAATATTGATTATTGCTTTTGGCATGAACGGCACAAGGTTAATCGCTCAATTAACATTGCATCAGTCACTGCTTCTGTGTATATTTATTAATTTTCACTAGCAAACACATTTATTGAGACGTTTGTTGTATTATTTAATTGATTGTGCTCACCATTTTTCACTTTTTAATGAAAATCAAACACCGACGTAAAATACGCGATGTCTTCACACGTAGGTGAAAAAGAAAAAGGAAGAAGCTGACAGGCCGCTCAGAAGCAGGGTCGTATTTTGCGTCGCTGACATTTCAGGCGCAGCTAACTTAGCGTCGGATTTGAAATTGCGCCAGATGGCGCCACTTGTACATTTAACATACGCGCGAAAACGATATTAATTTAAAAGAAGACTAGAATATTTAAAAAACAATATTACGTAGTGTATTATATTTAAGTAACAGTGATTCTAAATGTATTTCGGGATTAGCTTCAAAATCCTTATCAGCATATTGACTGCCATAAAATCGTTCAATTTCTTGCTGAAGCTTCTGTAAACACACAAATTTTAAAGAAGGTTTTCAATTGTCCAAATTATATTTACCATTACTTTTAGCTGAGCAGCTTCATCTGGCGCTGTGGGATCATATTCAGGATCCACATTTAAAAATAAATGTTGCTTGATATGATATAGTGCAGTAACATCTTCACTTTGCAGAGTTAAATCTGTTTTGTTCTCCTTCACGCTGCCTGCAATGCTCAGCTTACTGTCTATAAAGTACAAAACTAGCTCATTTTCAATCCTTGTACTGACATTGCAAATGTCAGCGATTTGCTCTAAATTAAAGCCACCAGGCGCTTTCATTCTCTGTTTAATTTTCGGTTTTATTTTTGTTGCGCTTGTCTTGGCAAACATGTCTGGCAATTGCTGTTTGTTATACAGATTAAGGGAGTAAAGTTGTCCACTAAATAGCGCCCGATATGTATTGCTGTGCTCCTTCAACTTCAATGGCAGTAAGATGGCACTGATTTGTGTATGCAGCTCCAGAAACGCTACGAGTTTAACCTCAAACTTAGGCAAACTATCATGGCACGCTTTATTAAGCGGTATTATAATTCTACAATTGCGGCTCAACAGCAACTCCGTGGGCACACGGTGCACGTGGGCATCATGGCCATGGTAAACGAGCAATTGCCAGTGGCTACTGTGAAGCAGTTTTTGACTACTGCGGAATGTCAATTGCAAAATGGCATAAATTTTATTGCTATCAAGTTGCGCCAGTCTGGATGTATACAACAGCAGTGAATCAGCTCCAAAGACAGGCACTTGTCTACGAAACTCCAGCGTTGCCTCTAAACTACTCTCGAAGCTTGTTTCATTGCGTGCAACGGCTACAAGCTGTTGTTTTTCGTGCTCACGCTGTATGGCTGCCAAAAGTTCAGCTGGCTGCCGCTCGTATTGCTGCAGAACTTGTGCATTACAACGAAGTTGCTCCATGGCTGCCGGCGTTAGATCGCTTAGCGCACTTACATCTTCATCTGCCGCTTGCTCAACACTAAATGCAATCCGATAGAATATGTTATTGTCGCTAAGGCACACCAGCTGCTCAATGTGTTGCACCCAGGTGCAAGCCTGCATGCCGGCCACTGGCTTGACGCAGCGTTGTACCTGGCAGTCATCTAGCAAGGCATCATATTGAAATCTCAAACGCACTAACTGCTCCCCATCTGTGTAATAGAAGTCGCCGTTATCGCTGGTGACATCGTAGTCCAACCATTCGCTGCCGGTGTAGTACATTTGGCGCTGTTTTATGCCCAGTAATCGGGACATGTACCAAATGTCCACGCTGCCGCAGCTTAGGTAAACCAAGCATAGATTTAGTGAGGGCAGTAAATGCATAAACTTAACCGATGTGGGATATATGCATAGAAGCTCAATGTGGTATGCCTGCTCCGACTCCGCGTCCGCATTCGCATTCGCATCATCAACTGCATCTTCATCCCGTGGCATAAGCACAAATACGTGGCCCGCAATACTGAATATGTGTATCTGCTTATCCGCAGTTGCCACTGCACCAAAGAGACACTGCATGAATTGCTCATGATGTTGGGCAACTGTTACCGTTAGCAATGTATAGGAATCGTTCTGCCAATCGCATTGGAATATATTCTGCTCATCGTAGGTTATGTCGTAGCAGTGCTGCAGGGTGGTCTCTCCCTTGCTCAGACTGGGCAAGTCAACGTAGACCTGCAGCAGCAACTGTTGCGTATCCTCATCGTGGCGTATCACGCTGAACCCTTCATGAGTTCGCGCAAATGCACGCACACCCTTCAGCCAGGAGATTAGGTGCAGCGATTTGATGGAGCCAAAACAATGAACTCGTCCGTCCGACATTAGCAACAGGGTGTTGTACTCTAGCATGTGAATGCTACGTAGATGATTACCCTTGGGCAGTGGAATGCGTACTTTTGTCATTTCCATTCTGTTTGTTTTCTTCGATTTCTTAAAGCGATAATTCAGCAGATAATACTCGTTCCATGTGACGAAAACAGACTTTGTTTTGTTGTTGCTGGATGAAGAGTGACTTATTAGACCACACGGCTGAAACAGTGTATCATCGTCAATAGACCAGAGTGCATCATCGTCGTCTTCCACAATCCCAGGCTCGATGGGTTCGTCTATTTCCATCATTTTCCAAATGCGAACTACATATATTCAAATGCAATGCACTGATAGTACTACATAGCCAATGTGACCAAACTTCACAAAATAAAATGGCACAGTCGTGGCCACTCATAAATTTAAATAAAATCCTTTAAAATAAATACTATATACTAAGAAGCATTAAGAAACATTAATGTGCATATTCATTTAAAAAGCACTGTTGTATAGGCTCGTTAAGCCGAAAACAGCTTACACTGTTATACAATATCTTATATTTACATATAAGATACGCTGACGTGAATAAACTGGGTGACTGCTCATCTCTAGTTTCACCGTCCATTTCAGAAGCGTAACGATTTAGACATTTTTAAAAGTAATTTACCTGGAGGTTTTTAACATAACACTTTTTGGCATCAAGTAAAAATGACTTTGATGATGCGCCTGTGTTGGCGTAGCTATGCGACAAAACTGAAAGATCACCAGGTGACGATGATGGCCCGTGGTTTGCCCAAGCGGGAATCGCTGCCTGGCGTCCAGAACATAATAGTGGTAGCCTCTGGCAAGGGCGGTGTAGGCAAAAGTACTGTGGCAGGTCAGCGGGTCATATCTTAGGGATAAAAGAAAAGTTGAGACGAACCAAATTTATTGCAGCAAATTTCGCCTGCAGTTTGGCCAAGTTGGGAGTGCGTGTTGGGCTCTTGGATGGCGACATTTTTGGACCAAGCATACCATTGCTGATGAACGTGCACAGTGAGCCGCGGGTCAACGACAAGAATCTAATGTTACCGCCACAGAACTACAATGTCAAGTGCCTGTCGATGGGCATGCTAACGCCGCCTGATGGTGCCATTATTTGGCGCGGCCCGCTGGTCATGTCAGCCGTACAGCGTCTACTCAAGGGTGCCGAGTGGAGTCCATTGGATGTACTGGTCATTGATACGCCGCCCGGCACTGGAGATGTGCATCTCTCACTGACACAGCTTGCACCAATCACAGGCGTCATATTGGTCAGCACTCCGCACAAAGCAGCAGTGGATGTGACAGTCCGTGGTGCTGAAATGTATCAAAAACTGAAGGTGCCCATCCTTGGCCTGGTTGAGAATATGCGCTACTCCATCTGTGACAACTGCAATCATCGCATCGAATTTTTCAAGAAACAAGCTGAAGCTCCACACAAGAGGCTGCCAAAGACTCTCATTTCATTGCCTCTAGACTCACATATTGCAGATTGCGGCGAAACGGGCGTACCCGTTGTGATTAAAAGTCCAGACTCTGAACATGCAAAGCTCTTTAGTCAGCTTGCGCAGCATATATGGAGTATATTGCAAGAGAATCGAAAAACAAATGAAACAGAGAATGAGATGAAAATAAAGTAATACTTGAAGAGTTCAATTAGACGCTAATTGATAATTTAGGCAAGCATGTTGCTGAAGAATCAAAAGCCTTGCACACATGGCTCAGAGTACTCCGAATGCAACTTATGTGCTATATACGCGCGGTTATATTTTAAGTTTTATCAAACAGTCTTGATAAAATATTGATGCCAAGTTTACTAGCCATTCCATACTTACACGTACTTAATGGGACCAATCAAATTTTTAATCGTGTAACGAGAGAAAACATGACACGCGCCCAAATCGATGTGGAAGAAGTTATATTTATTTATTTTTCTTCAGTTTCTTCATCTTTTTTAAGGTTTTTCGATGTGCGTATTTTTCCGTACGCTTTATCACCTCTTTGTACTTCCGTTTGTTAAACTTTTGAAAGGCCTCATCCTCAAGCAGTTCATCCACCAATGACTTTTTGGTCTTCCGCGTATGCCGCTCGCTATAATGATCAAGTGGCGAGTGCTGGACTGTACCGATTTGGAAGTACTTGGGCAGCACCTTAAGGTCGTTCTTCTTATAGAAATGCTTAGGATCCAGCACGGAACGCATTTGTATAACCTTCAGCTCATTGCGCATCTCATCAGTGACTTCTGTCGCAGGTAAATCAAACCAGCCGCTGCCCTTCGTCTTTGTTCGTTCGGCCTGTGTGTATAAAAATTTGTTTATACATGGAAAGCTCAGCTGTTAATTTAATATTTGGCATGGATAAGCACTCAGATTACTAAAGACGTCGTCAATGTGGCAACAAACCTGCCTCAGCTACTGCTGTGTTTTGGGCGACAATAGCACTGTTTCAATAAAAGAGGATTGTACGCCTAAGCCTAAATCATTTGTCTTAGCTTAATGACAAATAACAGTCTAGCATTAAATGGCATTGATGTTCCGTTGGCCTTACAGCAACCGCTACATGTTCTGAGCCAGCCGCTAAGATTACAACGAACGAAACTGTGTGCTATTGTCTGTGAGTGAGTCTCTGGTTACACAACAGTCGCCTCAAGCAGCAGGAGCGTGCGCTTGCCGCGCCCATTGGCGCAGCTTCGGTTGTCGAATATGTCATCACAGATGCTCAGCTTATGATCCACGCCAAAGGTGTTGAAAAACTTACTCTGTTCAGTATGGGCTGCTTACGTCTGGAGACTGTAGGTAGGGCTTTCAGCTGCTCAATTCCGTTTATTTGCTTGGCTTTTTGCATATCCTTTTCCAAGTTTGCTTTCCGCACAATCACATCTTCGCTTATCTCGTTGTTTATTTCTGTTGTGGTACGTTGACGTTTCTGCAGTTTATGTGTGCCCACGTTTTGTGATGCCTCATTAACCCTCTCAGCAACTTCATTCAATTGTATCGCCACCTCGGATGCAATTCGTTTGGGCGTCTCTTGTGTGGCGGCGGCGGCAACCACTTTGCTCACATCTTTGCAGCTTATCTTGACGCCAAATAATTCCATTTCACCAGCTTCTTGCTCATCGTCTTCTTCGCTGTCCTCCTGTTGACGATCTTCAAAAATGCCATTGTACAATGCAGCGGAATACTGTAAATTATCTGCACTAAACAATTGCTGGTCGCCGTCTGTGTCCAACGTAAATAATGAAGCCATTCTATCTGGTTTTATAGCACGAAAAACGAAAACGTGCAGCTCATTTGGCGTTGAATAGTATAGTTGCCGGTTCGTTGTGAATGGCACTATGGTAATAATCGCAAACATAAACAAAATTTGGTCACACTGATCTGCCACACGTGTTTTGATTTCAGCTGCAGGCGTACGTTAGCAGAATAGTTTTGAAAATAAATAAAATCGCTAACTATAATGCCAGTTTCCATAAACACATTATTCGTAGAGTATTTTGGTTGCTGTTTAATTTATAAAACGTAGAACGACAGGTAATACTCGGCAAATAAGCGCAGTTAACTATATAGTTAATCTAGCCTTTGTCGAACGTGTAATTGCGTATTATTAGGAAATACTTTAAAATTTAGATACGGTAGTGTTTCGCGCAATGTCTGTCTACAGCAGCAAAACGACCAATACGTCCATATTGAAGTCCTTCTCCAGCGCAGATCGTGAGCGCGTCAAGACAGCGGCCCTTAACAAGGTGCGCTTCGTAACGCCCAAGGAGAAGGGCATCGTTGAATCGGTGCGTGTTGCTTTAGAGGAAAATAACTTCCATTTGATTCAGGAGTTCACATACTTTCTGTGCGAGGCTGATCTCAGTGTAAGTAAATAACATTATTTGCATATGCTTTTCTTATTTATGTTTTCATTTACAGGATGATGAGGTTGTTCAAATCATGAAGGACGCGCGCAAAATCGTGCACAGCCTGACACCGGAATTTGCCAATCTAGTTGAGGCACTACTCTCGCTTAACTGGAAGAAGTACAGCTCGGACGCCATTCAGGCCTATACAGAATTCAGCGTCGATGTTATGATTGCCCACAATTCGTATATACATATTGGCATTGGCAAATTAATTTTAAATTGGATACCTAATGATCAGGAATCGGCGGAGTGGCTCAATGGTTGCCCCTCGGAGCGTGTACGTGCTGAACTGGAAACTGTGCACAGTTTACTCAATCGCATTCTCACCGCTGTGCCCATGAGTTTTGACGTGGTCATCGATACGATCGCATCTAAGTTTCCATACTTTAAAAAGCCAGCTCATGTCACAGCTGGCTATTTGCACAATGTGCTATGGCTCATGGAATACAAGCCGGTATTCGAAGAGTTGTTAGTGCAGCTGGTTCTGCAGAAGTAAGTTATCATTTCAAATTATTTCGTTAACACGCAATTAACGTATTTTTAAATTCTTAATAGGCTACTGGTGCTGGACGTTAATGCGCCACGAGATGAAATCGAAGCACTTCAGGAGGACACCGATGACGAAGATGATAAAATGGAAGACCAAGCCATTTTTCAAATGGATGATCTAAACGCTCCGCCAAAACCGCCACAATCTCTAGAACATCCTATAGGCCAAATGCTGGACATATGCCTCATGAAGCTTTTCAAATTCCTGGATGATAAATGCCGTCCGAAGCCCGATTGCACCGATGATCAGCGTATAGCCAAAAGTCGCTTCTTTAAGACGTTAGTCCACATATTCGACGAGGTGTTGCTGCCCAGCCATAACACTCACCACGTTCAGTTCGTCATCTTTTATGCGTGCAGCATTCGACCAGCATATACAGAGATCTTTCTCAGCGCTCTGTGGCATAAGGTGCAGAATCCCAATGTTTCCTCGATCATTCGCCACGCAGCTGTTAGCTACATAGCCAGTTTTTTGGCACGTGCCAAATTTGTGCCCCTTGGGTAAGTATGCTTAATATTTAGTTGTGAGAACAACCAAATTCAAATTTTAAATTGATTTCAGCACAATCACCTACTATCTTAAGGAGTTAAGCAACTGGGCAAACAACTACATAAATGACTCCGATGAGTTTAGCAGCAAAAACTGTTCGCTCAAAGCGAATATGGTTTTCTTCTCTGTTTGCCAGGCCATCTTTTATTTAATCTCGTTTCGGGCGCGTGATTTGACAATCAATCAAAAGAGTATGCAATTGTAAAAGCAAGCGCTTCTTGCGATTTAACTTATCTTTATTTATCTTGCCTTCTAGATTTGGCTTTGCTGAATACTCTGCAGCTGTCACGGCTGGCCATGTGCCATTTTAATCCGTTACGCTATTGCCTTCCACCGGTGGCCACGGCATTTGCGGGCGTCACACGTACCCACCAATTGGCGTATTGTCACACTGTGCTGGAGCGTAATGCACGTCGCAAGCTGGCCACTATCTATGGCCATGACAAGCTGATGCCGGAGGAAACACTCGAAACTTTCTTCCCTTTTGATCCATACATCCTACCACTGTATGTCTTGAAAATCAGTTACCATGTAGGCTCGGCTTTAATTCTGATTAATCTTTGCAGTTCAAACAAATTTATAGAGCCAATATATCTAGTCTATAAGGTGCATGAGCTGGAGGAGACAACGGATTGTGTAATAGCAGAGACTATGCGTCGCAAGCGTGGCGATTCTGAAATGATTGAAGAGGATGACTTCATACTGGCGGATAAGCGACAGAAGCTAAGCGATCTGTCCAAAAGTCAGCAATTTGACAAACAGTTTTACTATGGAGCTTCGCCTGGGTTTAACCAATAAAATGTGGGGACGTAGATGTAATAGTAATTGATATTTATGAAATATAGACTTATATTACTGAAGATCATAAGATAAGTGCATTGGCGGAGGCATTCTTGTGCCGCTCGGCGAGCATATGGTCAAGTCTGTGGCCCGAGGTTCGAAACGTTTCACTGCAAATTTCACATTTAAAGGGTCGTTCGCCGGTGTGCAAACGCAGATGCAACTGCAGCGACGTTCTGGAGGCATAGCACTTGCCGCACACCTGGCAATTGACTGTGGCACGCTGAGGCTGGTGCGTCTCTAGATGCCTGGCCAAAGTGGAACTTAGGGTAAAGTGCTTTTGGCACACTTGACATACGTGTAACTTGAGCTTGGAGTGTGTTAGCAGATGACGCGCCAAATCGTTGGGTTTCTTAAAGTTTTTGCCACATTGCAGACAACTATGTTTCAGTTGCTTCGTGTCCAGTAAACGCCTCAAATGTATCAGCATGTGGGTGCGACAATTGAACTTGCGTTTGAATTCCTTTTCACAGTAAACGCACTTGTAGCTACGCTGTGACATAACTGGCTGCGGCACCAGTTGTTCGAGTTTTGCCACCTGTGCATCGGCTTCATGTTTCTCGTGTGCATCACGGGCAGATTTCGATTGAAAGGTGCGTTTACACTGACCGCAACTGTAAACCAAATCCGGGTGTGCTTGAGCCAGGTGTTTGTGCAACCGATTTTTGGAGCCGTAGCTGCTGGTGCACTCGCTGCAGGCGTGCTTTTTCAGTGTAGCATGCAAGCGTTTGTAATGCTCATTTAGCTTGGTCTGGGTGGCAAAACGCTTGAGACAGCGGCTGCATTGGTAGGGCGTCTCTTTGGTGTGCGAACGACGATGCCTGGCGAGCAGCAAGTTTTTGTTGCTTATGTCTAAAGCACAAACAGTTCTTAAATACTAGACTTACCTTATGAGCTCGTAGCTTTTACTAAACTCCTTGGCACAATATTCACATACATAGTAGCACCTGCTCGGCTTCTGTCGCAGTATGCGCTGCGTGGTCAGCATGTGCACAACACCATTTGGGTTGAGCCTATCTCTGAGCTGTACTACATCGCAAGCTGTTTTCTCCTCAAGTGTAGCTTGAATATCTGCTTGCTCCTGCGGAACGCCTGGTATATCTTGGCTTATAGTTATATTGTCTGTTGGGTGACTGGTTTGCAGCAGTTTTAAAGCAGCCAGTGCAAGTTGCGCCACCTCGGAATCATCGCTTCCCTTTGCGGCATCGTGTTTATTGCGTATGTGACGCTGCAGTGAACTTTTCTGTGAGAACCGACTGGAGCAGATGTCGCACTGCAAATATTTATTACACACATTTAAAAATCAAGCTGGGCTTCCAAGCAAGCACATTGCAAAACTTACTGGAAATGCTTTCTCTGTGCTGTGCACAACCAGATGGCGACGCAGTAGTGCTGGTTTGGAGAAGCACTTGCCGCAGGTGTCACAACTGTTGACAATTTTAATTTTTGCAACATTTTCCATTTTTTTATTCACACAAACTTTTTTTCGACAAACGTGTGCGTCTCAATCACTAGCAAGAAGAAGCATACCGATCACAGCTGTTCTCTTTGCTGCTTCACCCGCCGATTCCTTCACTAAAATTCACCCCGATTGTACAAAAAAAAAAACAGCTAAATGATTGTTTACAGCAATCATATAGAAAATCCATTCTATTTGAAACTTAGTTTAGAATCGGCCAATCTACACAGTTACAAATCGTAAACAAACTCATCTTTTCTCTTTTAGCTTAGGCAACGAATTCATATGGAATTGGCGCCAGGGCGATGGGCTCTTCCAATTTCTTGACGAAATGTGACTTCTTAGGCTGCTCGGGCTGACGTTTTAGGCTGACCCATTTACCCTTCTCCTTGGCATCCTTGAGCAGACGTTCGTTCTCCTTAACACGGCGCAGGAAATCCTCACGGCACTTGGAGTGATGCACATGCTCGATGCGCACGTTGATGCGCTTGGCTAGAACCTTGCCGCGCACACGTTTGTTTACAATGACACCAACGGCGTGTTGTGTGACATTGAAGATGCGGCCGGTTTTGCCATGGTATGCCTTGTAGGGCATACCCTTCTGCACAGCACCGTGTCCCTTGATGTCAACAATGTCGCCGTTCTTGAAGACGCGCATGTATGTGGACAGGGGAATGACACCATGCTTACGGAATGGGCGAGAGAACATGTCCCTGGTGCCGCGACGATAACCCTTTGAGTTGGTCATTTTGTTGGCTGTGGTTCCCTGCAAAAAACAAACACGTTTAGCAACATCTCAATCAACGCACATATGCAGGGCAAAGTTACCACATTTGGACGCGCGTTTCAACTGCATTCGATTGCATTTTAATGCAATTTGTTCAAAATATTCGCTTACCTTTTACGTATTGACGTCCACGCGGTCGTGAAGTTGGGGAAAGAAAGAAAGATGGCTACCCACTTGGCGTTGCCACACTCATTATGATTTGACGTTTTATCAGGGCTGCTTATGATTTACCGTGTGATGCGTAACCCTGGCGCAGAGTTGCTATTTCGATAGGTAGCGCGGTTCTCTGAGATGCGATAAATTGAATTGAACGTCGTTTAAGTATTTCATTTTATTAAGTTAAAAAAGTTTTACAAATTCAACAGAAAACTAATTAATATTACATTTTTGCTTAAGTTTGAGCACTTTGGTACACACACACATAATAGTAAATGTCATTTTAATATCTCGTTACATATAATTTATATTTTAACTATCATATATAAATGTGTTACATATGCATATATGTTTATATAACTTGTCCGTTTTTGTTCTCTAGTTTTAATTTCTTCACAAAAAGTCTAAGAATGTGGCGTCATTTTGTTTGCAATTATTACATGATTGGAATATCAAAGCACAAATCTATTAAGTTATATGCGGGCTGCTTTGTCAAATATATAGTAGGTTATATATGTATATTTAGCTTATGCTTATGCATGTGGTACGTATATATAATAAATATTGTAAATAATTTCATAAATATATTTATATATAAGTAACCCATATAAGCTTATACCAATATATATATAAACAGCACAAACACTTTGACTTGCATACATCGATGTAAACATAAAATTTAACATTAAGTGTTGCCATTACATATATTAATTAATAATTTAGTTTAATAGGTTATACTTGTTTCGTTTCGTTTGGTTGGTTGATTGGTTGTTTTTTTTTTTGTTTTTTTTTTTTTTCTCTTTTCTTAATTATTTTCTTTTGCGTTATTATATTATATATTGGCTGTTGTTTTTGGATTTCATAAATCCAACTACAATAGCAGTCTCTCCAACAAGTCCACAGCTTCTTAATGCAATGGTCATGCTACACACTCCATTCGTTGTCCATTATCCGGTGCTATATTCAGCCTAAGCGACCTCCTTTTTGTTGTGCCCGTTTTCCAGCGGACTGCTGGGTAAACTGGTGCAGTTGCAGTTATTATCGTCATTGGGCAGTGACGCCTGATGTTGCTGCAGCTTTTGCTCCAGGCGTGTTTTGTACGTGTACAATGACTGCAGCGGCACATGAAGTAGTTCCACAATCTGCGTAAAGTTTAGCTCTAAAAGGTGTTCAATTCAATGATGCTTAACTTGTGACACAATACTAAAACCCAAACGTACCTTTCTCAGCTGTAATGTGGCCGTGTCGAATCAAGAAATCGATAACAACTGGCGCCGATGTCGTCTTGAAATCTGGCGTAAATACGCGCTCCACACACTCTTTGGCTGGCAGCAGCTCGAAAGCCTGCACCTCGCCATCCGCATTATGAGGCACAAAGTCCACCGGCAGCTCCAAATCAAATACATATTCAGTATTGGGAAACAGACCCTGATCGCTCTCAAAAAAGAACGAGACACAGCCCGCTGAAACCAAATTTTTGACGAGATCTTTTGGAATGGATGCTTCCTCGGCGGCCTCCTTGATGGCCGTCTCCATTATGCCATATCCAACGGAAAGACCACCGCCTACCATATTATCCCATTTGCCAGGCCAGGTTTCTTTAGTGTTGGAGCGCTGCTGCAGCCAAATGCACAGACCGTGTTGTGGATGCCTCACATAACCATTGATGTCCACACCATATTTGCGAACCCCGAACAGCGGTGTCGCCGCTCGCTCCATCTTCAGCAGGGCCTTGTGCTCGGATTTGACCTCAAAGCACTCATCCCGCCAGCCCTGCAAGGCTGAGAACAAACCATCGCTGCGCAGTTCACGTAATACCTTCTCCAGTTGTGCCGTGCGCTCGTTGTAGTCTCGAAATGCCGGATTTAACTCCACGAGACCCTGTCAAATGATTAACAATACGCTGAAGATGATTACATTGTGACTATTTGTTATAATATTCACCTGCTTGGTATATTCACAGTCACGTATACAAAACACTTCGGGGTACTTGTGCAGCTGCTTGAGGACATCCGATTTAATGAGCCCAACTTGTTGTCCCTCAACCAGAAATGGACGTATGTCGCCTTTATGAAAACCTGTGACACAATTAACGTTAATTAGCTTGAGAGCAATTTGTAATTGATATATTCCTGACGCAGCTAACACCGTAATTGTATTGTGGCCAACAAAAAAGACCGGAGTATCTGTTTGTCGGTTTTCTATGTAGCTTGCATATAAATGTTGTTTACTTCGAAACTGTGAATGTGTCTTAAATTTGTCTCTAGCATGAATAACTATATGACAAATACAAAAATTTCTGCGCGATGCAAGTAAGAATCTGTGCAATACAGATTCCAAAATGTATGTGAGAAACATACAAATCTGGGAGATACAAAAAAGCGTGTGACACATAAGTATCTTAATCATACAAAAAGAGTCTGTAAGGTACGAGTATATATCCTAATTGACAGATATATAGGATCCAAACATTGTGTATGATACGATATATATAATAGTATTCATAATATAGAATTTCATATGTGCCTTTTGTGGCCAAAGAATCTTTCCGATTATTATTGACTCACATTGTTAAAAGTGTTACTGGCAGAGATTACATGATCTAAAATTGGAGCACAAAGCTATAATATAATAGCAAACAGAACCACATTTATTTCTGATAAGTGTTTATAATTTATTTATGTATGGGGACCTATAGAATTTGATTTAAAGATGTTGATGTGTGGGCCTAGGTCAAACCGTTGAAGTTAAACTTTTTTTTACTAGCCAGAACTGAAACTTTCTTATCGCTTAGACATTGATATTTTTATTACTATATAATTATGATAAGCATGCTTTTAATGCTAAATACATATTTCCGGTTGAAATTTGTGCAAGCTTCAATTGCTTTGTGTCGTGAAAAATATTTAAGTTTATTCTGAGCTCAATTGGAAATGGAAATACACAGCACACGCACCCTGATTAGATATGTCAAAATACCTAATAAGAATAATAAGCAGTTAATTAGCCTTAAGTACCTTTGCTTAAACCAAATACAATCAGTTTATTATTGTAAGCACTTTTTGTTATCTATTAAAATCTAGCAAAATAGCGTGAAATAATCATTTTATGTTTATTCACGTTTGGCATTTTGCACTGAGATCTGGCTTATTTATTTCTTCAGATAGGAATAGTTGATTTTTAAATGTTGACCTTAGGTTAAACCAATAAAGATTTTTGGTACGGTCTAAGGCAATTTAAAAACCTGCAAGTTTTCTGTTCACGTTCTGAATCAGAATTTATCTGATTCATAGTTCTCTAGATCGCCAGTACTCATAATAATAAATCCAATTCAGACAATATTTGATCAAAACATGCTTTAAAAATAATATTTAAGCCGGTTGGCAAGATCGTCGCTGAATTTTAAATTGGCAAACTCAATTATTGCGTCACTATTCAAACGAGCACAACATAAACATGGAATACCAATTCGCTTTTGATTCAAAGATAAACAATTTGAGAAGCAAAACAAAAACAACTGATACCCTAGATTTTATGAGAATGAGATGAAAATATAAGAAACTGGCAAGCCAGTAAAAAGTTTGAGATCTTCACTTATTGGGATACTCTGACAATCATATGCCAATCAGGTTAAAAATCTCGTTACGGAGAATAGCTACGTAGTAATTGCTTAGAATTGCCATATACCAACTTTTTATAGGGTATAACAAAATTTATTGCCCAACACATTGAATTCAAATTTGTTTCAAAATTCAAAGCAATACAGTTGAAATAGCTGGAAGCAAAACAAATAGCTTGTCAAATAGCGCATGCCGCTTATCAGCGGAGATAGAGAGCCAAAGAGTGGTTAATAGCGATAGAGAGAGAGAGAGAGAGAGCGAAAGGGAGAGGGAGATAGCGGAAAAGAGATAAGTTCTATCTCAATTAAGCGAACATATGTGCCACTTTTTTGCACTTAATCAAGCCATAAACATCTATCTCTAAATTTATACATACAATATCTGATTTTATATAGTGTGTGTGTTTGTGAGATGTTTCAGCTGTTGCTGCATGTTGTTGTTGTCGCTGAAAATGTCGCCAAAAGTTGCCCTCAAGGTGATACGATAAAAATCTTGTTACAACTGCAAACAAGCGACAAATAATTTGTAAAATTGAGTCGCTGCGCAAAGGTCTTAATTATGAACAACAAAATATATGCACACGCACACATACATACATATGTACACTGATCAGAAATTCATACATATTTAGTGACCAAGTTAGCATACTTAAATTTATTTGTATTAATAAACAACAAACGATTACTTGATAAAAATGATCTTGCATAAGAGTCGCTGGTTTGTTTAGCATTACATTTTGTTTAATTGCAATTCATGTATAAGGAATTGTGCATTGAAATGCGATAGGCCACAGCTGTTGGATGATCCAGCGTTTATTACTGCGAAAAGCTGGACAGCAGCGTGGTAAACAACAAAATATATCAGCGCATCGGATTACTAGCGAGCGCAACAGGTGAACTTATCGATTTGAAGTGTGTAGATCGATAACATGCATGGAAAGGCAAAACAAAAAATGGGACAATTTTGAACAACTATTAGTCATAAAAATAGCCAAAAAGGAAATTAGTTTCAATGTCAATGCAGAGCCGATTGGATGCTGTAGAAACGAAATGGCAATGAGACATTTGGTAGCGACGTCAGCAGCAGCTGCACACACACACACACACACACACACACACACACACACACACAAGCACGCACATACAAGTAAACAAACTAATCGATAATTCGCACTCTCTTGCTCTCGCTCTTTGCTGCAATTGCAGTAAACGGTATGCGCTGCACCCATTATATTGGCGCCCAGGTCGCCCACGATGTGAGTTAGCGTGTGTATACAGGGTCAGTGGCTGCCAATCCCATTTTCATGGCCAAAAGGCGAACGGCAACATAGCCAACCCCAAAACAAAAACAATAAAGACGCTGGTGAATTAAGCTGCGTTACTCACCTGTCAAGTAGAAATTATTAAACTTTTGCGCTAGTCCCAGCAGACGCGACAGTTTTACCTCGGTGGACGACATTGATGAGGACTAAGGGAGTACAGGCTCGGGTAGCCAAAGTAAATACAAATACACTTTAAATGCCGGTTACTTTTGCTCCCACTCCTCGACTCCTACTCCCACACCAAAAACCACAGCAACGATAACACACGGCAATGGCACTCTTCAGATTTTGAGGACTGTTTTCGTTTTAATTAATTGTCCTCAGCATAGACTTGCTTCGTTTGCTGGACGCACAACTTATTATTAATTTTCTCTATTTCAATTAGGGATAATGGACAACCAACGACAAAAACCAACTACCAAAACACAACCGCACGGAACGAAAACCACAGCCGTAGTGCTGCAAAATACGCGCTCAGTCCGATAACGATATAAACTCTGTTTAAGTGTTGCAAAGCTTTAAGCAACAGCTGATTGTTTAACAGCTGTTCGGTTTCAACGTACTGGCCCTGGCAAACTAAATATAATGTAAGTGTTGTTAAAAACATTCTCCTAGTGTGTTTAACAACACACGTGGGATACAAATGTCACGCTGACAAGAGTACAAGTTAGAAAAAGTTAGAAACATAAGCAGAGCACGGGAAACGCATTCGTTTCCCATTTGTGTTGTAAGCTTCAATTAAATTGGCATCTGATTGATCATAAATTAGTAACTAACCTTGGCAAGGCAAGCGATTAAATTCCAAAATGAGTGACGACTACTTAAGGAAACCATTTTCATTAGCGCCCCCACCAACCGGTAAGCAACACCCCGCATGTCCACACACATTACGCAATGGAACTTGCTGTTACATGTGGGGGTTTTTGAATGAAATCTAGGGCTTTATACATTCTTTTTATATTTAAATTGCAGTCGACGATCCACAGCCAACAGCAACAACAAACTACACACCGGCAACGAGCACATTTAGCAGTGCTCCAGTCTCACCATACCTCAACTATGATTCACGATTCCTGCAGCAAGCGCAGCCAGAGTTCATATTTCCCGAGGGCGCCAACAAGCAGCGTGGACGTTTCGAGTTGGCTTTCTCACAGATCGGCACATCTGTAATGATTGGTGGTGGCATTGGTGGCCTGGCGGGCGTCTATAATGGCATTAAAGTTACTAACGCGCTCAATCAGACGGGGAAGCTGCGTCGCACCCAGTAAGTAGGCAACAGATTAAAGACGGTATCTGGATGTCATATGCTCCGGATATCTTAGCGTACGAGTGTACATTATAGGAATGTACATTGAATCTATGCCTTTCGTTTCAACATATTGATGTGCATCTTTTTTGCAGATTAATCAATCACGTCATGAAACAGGGTTCCGGTACGGCAAATACCTTAGGCACGTTGGCTGTACTGTACTCGGCGTGTGGAGTGTTGTTGCAGTATGTTCGTGATCAGGACGACAATGTAAATACCATAATAGCCGGTTCTGCGACAGGACTACTGTACAAATCAACAGGTGAGCTCACTCCAACCTAAACCTAATATACGTATTAATGTTTTTTTTTTTTTTGCATATTAGCTGGCCTGCGAAAATGTGCCCTGGGTGGTGCTATTGGTTTGGGCATATCGTCGCTATATTGCTTATACCTGCTGGCGCAAGAGAGCAACAACACAAACTCAAGTCCAAAATTTCTGTAGGTGAGACGGCATAGCTTTAAGTGTGAAACGCTATAGCTGCTAACTAGTTGTGGCCAGTGGCTGACATACACATGTGTGTGTAGTAGTCGCATTGATGCGCTTAACCGTCAAATATATAGTTTTGTTTTATATTATAAATACATATATATATATATTTAGATTTATCTGGACACTAAGAATTTCCTTTTTAGTTTAACTCTCTGTTCAATCGTCATCAGGCAACCCATACCAAAATTCTTGTTGCTAACGAACACGCCGCGCAATACAAAATCATGTAAATCGAACAAATAAAATTGTTTGCTTTAGATGCAACTTACCATAAAATGAAAAGCTTTATTGTTAGAAACGCGCCACCATACTGTACTACACGAAAGTCACCACCTAATAATCGAGGGCACCAGAATCATCGTTAGTTAACGCTAGCACCTTAACGCTCTTGCGTTCGTCTAGGCCATTGTTGGCTGGTGCCTCGCAACTGGTGTCCTCCGTGGAGCATGTATGACAGTGGCAGTTTATGGCCTCCATGTAGCTATATTTACGTATGTTATCATCAGCCTCGGGATGACAGTTTTTAAGTACGGCCACCGACGGCTGACGATGCGCATGTACACAGACGGGATGAAACGAGCGCTTGTAGGGAAATTTCCAATCGGAGATCTCGCTGGAATCGCAACGACCCCAACAGCTCCAGACGCTCACAAAATCCCAGCATTCGCGACCCTGCAAATCTGACTGAGTCACCCTGTACGTGTACAAGCGACGATGACATCCAAGAGGAGCAATAGTGGGTCCACTATAAACTGGATGCAGGTCAACCAATTGGGCGCTGGCCATATGCAACAGCGGCGATGCCGAAAAAGCCAAACACAGTCTAGTAAAAAAGGAATGTTCAACATTTTTTAATTAGCGACCTTTAAATTTAACGCTTTTATCGGCACTTACAACACTGCGAGCATTTCTAAGCTTCCTTATTGTTCCTTTTGCTGTCTAATGCGTGCTGTTAGCGGCGCAGTCGGTTGCGTTGTGTTGGATTCTTTCAGAATTTCTCCATATTTATAGGCAACTTCTGTTGCTGCTGGTTGTGGTCGCGGCGTCTGCGCATCGCTTGCCTCTTAAGCAATACAGTTGTTAACCTAAAAATAAACTTTGTAATTGTATGAGTTTTGCATATTGGATCCGACTGGAGCATTTTGCGTTACAATTTCAATTTAAATTTAAAGTACTCTTAAGACAATTATATAAACTTCATTTAGTACTATTAATATTCTGCATTTTATTGTGTATGATGCAAAGAATTTTGTAATACCATGAAAATTTTGATAACGGAATTTTCTTTATCAAATGTCAAAAAAAAATACGGCAGCACTCTTGTTGCGCCTCATGCTATGCAATAATTTTTGTTACTTGCCAAGAATTGTGTGCGTTATCGAAAGGTAAATAAAAAAAAACGGTTTCTATGGACGTGGGCCACGTTGCCAATTTCTGCACCAGAATACCTTTGCCCACGCTAACGCATCCTCTATCGTATTCGTTGCCAAACATTGTTTGGTAATCTCCGTTCATTTCTGGGGGTCAGTGCCGGTTGAGGGGAGTTGCGATTGAACGCCGGTTACGACGATAACGCCTACGAGCGACGACGTATCTCATGATGCGAGCCATAGCGCTGATTACGCAGCTGCACCCGAAAGCGCCGATTATTGTCTGGGCCGCGGTCCTCAGCCTGGCGATTGAGGTGAACGGCGGGCAAAACGGCTGCATCAACAGCAGCAGCTGCGGCTGCAGGCGGTATGCCAGGCGCTGGTAGTGGTAGTGCCACCTGCTGCGGCAACTGCAGCTCCTCTCCATCGACATCCTCGTTGGGACTCTCTTCATCCAGATCATCCAGGGCCGGATCATTGTTGTCAACTAGCGATTGTGAGCGATTCGTATTGCCAACATCTTCGCGAGCCATTGCCGTGGCCATTAAACGCTGACGTCGCTCCTCCATAAGACGATCACGTTCCTTATGTATGTAGTCGCGTTTGTTGGGCAGACCGGCCACATTGTTGGCCGATAGCGCCGAGCGCACAATATTCATGTCCGTTGCCTCCATCCACTCGTCTGTCTCGGCCACATAGCATTCGGTGTGCGAGATGGTGGAGACGCCATTGAAGCCGCCAATGGCGAAGATCATGTCATCGATTATCTCCAGGCCAAAGTTGCTGCGCGAGTGATTCATTTGCCGTATAAAGTGCCAAGATTGGGATTCCGGATCAAATCTTTCGCCGGTAGACAGCCTGGATGTGCCATTGAAGCCGCCAATAACATACAGCTGATCCCTGAACGCCACACAGCTGACGCCCGAGCGACGATGATTCATATTTGGTATTCGTGTCCAGACATTGGTCAGTGGATCATAATATTCGGCACTATCCAAACATTCCTGGCCATTGAAACCACCCGTTGCATAGATGCGGCCGTGAAGCGTGCAAGCGCTGGCATCGGACCGTTGCATATTCATGGGTGGAATGATAGACCACTGATTGGTCTTTGGGTTGTAACGCTCCACGGTGTTAAGGCGATTGTGTCCATCATAGCCGCCAATTGCATAGATCATGCCATTCAGTTCCGCCACGCTGACATAGCAGCGACGGCAGTGCATTGGCGCTATCTCGTTCCACTTCTTCTTGACTGCATCAAAGACGCGACAGGTATTGAAGTATTCGACGCCATCGTAGCCACCTATGGAATAAATTTTAAAGCCAAGAACGGCGGTGCCATGGTAAGCGCGCGGTCCAGCTGGATCCTCGGCATTGATGTTTACCCAGCGATCGGCACGCGTGTCGTAGGTCTCGATGCAACCCTTCGATGTGCCACCACTCCAGCCACCAATGGCGAAAATGACCTCATGTGGGAGTCGCGGCATCGCCAACGGCGGTGTGGTTAGCTTGGGTTGAAAGGGCAAGTCAAATGGCACGTATAAGTTGCTGCTGCAGAGCAGAGGGTGTTAGCATTACCTCTTCGGCTTGTGGGTTAAGAAAATCCAGATCATACATGAATTTAAAGGTATCGACTATCAGCGGTTTGGCAGCCTCGCATTGAATGACATAGGGATGCTCCTTGACCTCCTCCATGAAGCACTGAAGGGTTTATACATATATATATATATCGATTAAGTGATTTACTTCCCACATTTTCGTTTCGTTTGCTTCAGTTGTCGCTACACGTACCTTGGGGGTCATCAGACCAAGGCGCACGCCCGTCATCAGATGCGCCACATGCTGCTTTCGATTTTCTGGATCTCGGTCAATCCATTTGACGCAAAGCTTCCATACGTAATCCTCCTCACGTGTATTTAGCTCATCATCACTAATAATGCTGTAAAAGTCCTTAATGTTCAAGTCGAGTATGTCCGTATTTCGGGCGGCCACATCTGTAAAGTACCTAAGCGTATAATTGCGCGCCTTCTGATACAAGTCCTCGAGAAACCGAAAGCTGCAATCAAATGCAAGTCAATTAAAAGCAGATTATACCTATTTCTATGCAAAACAACAATTGAGTGAGATTAACAAATGAACGCGCAACTGCGAGGGCGGAAAGCTGGCTGAACACACTCATACTGACCGCGCAAACCCCATGATGCTGACACAGTTCTCCGGGCTTAGTGTACGACTGAGATATTCCTTGCACTGTTTGACCAGCCCCACCATTCCCACATAATCCGCACAAATAAGCAGCTCGTGAACGTTGTCGTCGCTGATGTTAGTCTTGCGCAGGTAGGCGTACTGTATGACACAGTTCATGATGGACGCACTAATCCCCGGTATATGCACGACACGGCTCTCGTCATTCCCCGCTCCGGCACGGCTGTTGAATCCCGTAAACTGTGCGCTGCCGGAAAACAGGAGCACGACAAAAAAGGAAAATATTATGCAGCGCCATCGTTGTGGATTAAATTGATTGGTTAGCGGAAAATGCATGAGGGACACTCACCGAAAATATGAGCTGCAGGAACACATGATGGCACGATGCACATTGAAAGACTGCTCGCCCACCGAGATCTGCGCATCGCACAGAAGATTCGCTTCGCGCAGTTCGTTGAGCACGTTGAGAGCATGATCGCTGACAATGGGTGATAGGGATTTTGTGGAGGGCTTCTGTGTGGGACTATTATCAAGTTCATCTCCTTGAAAGCTACCGTCCATTTCCACGTCCACCATTTCTATCGGTGCCAGTTCCAGTTGGCCCTCATTCATGCCATGTAAATGATTGCCGTTTTGCCGATTCATTGCGTAAGCGAGCCAGCGATTTTTTCTCGGTTGGGTCTGAAATCCTGGTCCTTGTCTAAATCGGTTTATTATTTTTTTTTTGGGGAAAAACAATTTTAAATGTATATTCAGTAATTGCATATCGATGCGCTAATTATTGAGAATGGTTCCTACCAAGCGAAACGCGTTTTGTTGATATTTTGTATTTTTTGTGGGCTGTTTTTAGGGAGAGATCTCTCCGTATTTAACAATAGGAACAGAAATAATGTTCGATAATTAATCAACAACAACGAGACAGTTCTCGTAACGCACGAAATGGGACTACTAAGTGAGAACTAAAAACTGAACGCACTCTAAGCCGGTTCATTTCTATGTGCTACACCTTTTAACTCTTACCCATGGCCCTAACATCTATTCGCTTACCCACGCTGCTTGCCTTCCACAATTTCTTGCCCCGTAGAAGAGTACCATATGGAAGGCAAAGGTATGGGCCGAGTTTCAAATGTTAAGAATGCCTTGGCATTCTGAACTAAGCACGAGCTTTCTAGACGTATGGCGCAAAGCCAAAGGGAATCATTTAAATGTGGAATGATTTTATGAATCTTTCTTTGAGCCGTTATCTTTCCAAAACACATCACATGGATGTTTATACATTAAATAATAACATTTTAAACGTAGCGCAGTAATTGCAAAGACACAAGAATCTTGGTCTGATTCGAACACGGTCTGATTTTTGAATATACATTTTTGGACGCAAATAAGGAGCAAAATGAGTTAGCTATCCTTAGATAAATAAACTTTCTTTTGCATTAACCTTTTGTGTTTCTTTGTACTTACCTACAGATGCATCGCGCTCACACAAGTTTTTGATAAGTCATTCGCAAACTTATTGACCCAGACAAGAATTGCCTGTGTACAAATTCGTATAATGGTCGTTAGCCTGCTTTATTTTCCGTGCGCCGTTTTTTGCTGCGCTTTGCGCCGTCGTAACTAAGTCTTTTTTGAACGTAACTAAGTCTTTCCCAGAAGCGATATTCTTGTTTCATCTTCAACTTCAAAAGCGCCTGGACTAGCAAAGTTCTGAAATTTTGTTCTCGGTACGAATAATTTGCGAAATAGATGGAGAGTATGTACCTTATGTACCTTCGTAAATCCTTGCGCACAGAACTCCGCGCCGGAACTATTTGGAAACTGCTTAGAAGCTACCTAATCAACTGGCGGCCATCAAGATGCAAATGCAAAATGTTGAATTGCTTCCATAATTAAATAAAATTATACGAATTACAAATTTTTATTAAAAAGATGAATGTATCAAAAAAGGAAAGCCATTTATTGCACAGGTAAGAAAGTTGTCGTTTTTTTGGTATTTGTTGTCATTCTTCTTAATAATTTTCACATATTGTCTTACGCACCGAACAAAATAAATTAAAAAATAATTTTAACACACAGATGTACATATGTACATACATATAGGCTCTCTATCTACAATAATTAATCTACAATAACAAGGATCATCAAGAAAATATTGAATTTTTTCGATTCTATAGACTTTCACGACACCAAAAGATAAATGTTTTGAGGACTAGACTTATTTCAGCATTATTGAGCCAAAAAAGACATCAATTTGCACTGTCTAAGCATTAATATTAACGTTTCTGTTATATTTTTTTTTTGCAACAACAACGCGAACGTAAGCGGGCGATATGCATTGACGAAAGTGAGTAGATACCGAAACAGAAGAAGAATTACAGTTACCTCACCATTTCATCTTTATTTGTGTGAACAGGATGAATCAATCAAACAACGAAAATTTAATTACACAAGTAACTCAGTAATTTGTTTTTTTTCTTTGTTAGTAGCTGACATGAGCCACCCTTAACTTACGAAATGCTTTAGGTCATGCAAAATAATAATTTTCACATATTGTCTTACTTTTGACCAAAGTCAATTATAAAATAATTTGAACACACAGTTCTTTAAAGGCTTTCTACAATTCTAAATTCCGTGATGATCACGGAAACATTTTGTTTTGTTTTATAGGCTTCCACGATATTTAAAAGGTCAAGCTTCAAGACTGGAATCTTTTCTGCACCAGACATGACGTGTTTGCCTGAGCATCACTATTCGACTACGTTACAGTTATTGTATGTACTTTTTTGTTTTTGCAAAAATGCTAACGCCAGCGATATGCACTGATGAATGTGAGTAGGTACCGAAACAAAAGGAGAATTACAGTTACTGCGCCGTTTCATCTTTTATTTGTGTGCATAAGATGAATCTATCAAACAACAAAATTTATGCAATTACTTACACAGATAAAGAATTCCGTTAGCTGTTATAAGCCACACGTAACCTACGAAATGCCTTAGATCATGCAAAATAATAATTTTCATACTCACCGAACAAAATAAATCAAAATTTTAACACACAGATGTACACACAATGAATTAAGTATAATCACGAAAACACTGATCTTTTTTTCGATTCTATAGGCTTTCACGATTCCAAAAGTTAAAATGTGTCCAAGACTGGACTTTATTCAGCATTATTCAACGAAATATTGCAAGTCAATTCTAAGTCTGAGCATCACTATTCGGCGAGGTTACTGTTATAATTGCGATTTTCTTCTTTATGTTTGCAACAAAGCGATCAAACGGGTGATATTAATTGACGAATTGGCGTAGGTACTGAAACAAAAGGAGAATTACAGTTACTGCGCCGAGGCGCCATTGCGCATATACATACACATGTACATATGTATGTAGAGATGTATTTTTACTTTTGGTTTGCTTAAATTTGAATACATATGTAATGCAAAAGGTGCTTCGGCGCAAAAACTGTAATTCTTCTTGTCTTTTGTCAATGTATGTATGTATGTATGTATGTGCATACATACATATGTATGTAAATCGCCAGCTAAAAAATAAATCATAATAGTTATTCCCGCTTCTGGGCCATATTAAAAATAGGAATATGCAAACATGGTTTTTATGCATGAATATTTTAGGCAAGCAATTTTTCCCCCCATCCATGACCCCCTATTAAATGCAGCCCATTGCCCAGGACAAGATTCGTTCTTTGCGCAAGCGTCGTATTCTGCTGGCCGGAATAAAACAGAGCGTCTGCTAGGAAGCGGCCAACAGTCATCATTGAACCCTAGACGAGATGAACTCGGCAGTTGTTTTATGGCTGATCTGCTCCTGCTTTCTGGCCGTCGAGAGCAGTCCGGCCGGCAAGGACACGTGGTTGCGTCCTGGCTGTCATAAGGTTGGAAATACCCGTAAAATCTCAATACCTGATTGTGTGGAGTTCACGATTACAACGAATGCTTGTCGCGGCTTTTGTGAGTCCTATGCGGTTCCATCGGTACCAACGGCATTGACAGGTTTGTTTAGACCGCCTAAGCCGGTTGTGTCGGTGGGTCAGTGCTGTAATATGATGAAATCCGAGGAGGTGAGTGAGCTGCGGCTTGTATTAAATTCAACCTAGTGAACCAGGTAAATGCATGGGCAGATTTAACCTTTATTCCTTTCAGATACAACGCCGTGTGCTTTGCATTGAGGGGATACGCAATGTGACCTTCAAGAGTGCCGTCTCTTGTAGCTGCTATCACTGCAAAAAGGACTAGAGGAACCGCCTGAAATTAAAAAATAAATGTATTTAAATTTTATGCCTGAGCCACTTAAGTTATTTCCATCTCTAGGTACATATAATAAAAATAAAAAATAAACTTTAGCTATTTCTTGTGCTGCATGCTGTTACCCACATCCTTGGCTGTGGAATTGGGGCTGTCCGTGTTCCCGAGATGCCCCATATCGGTCAGAGCCGATTCAATTGCCGAGCAATAACGCGCGACTGAGATATCTGGATTTTCATCCCAGCCAGAAATGGCAAAGGTTATATCATTATCGCGCAAATTATAGCAGCAGCCATAGCCCTCCGAGTTGAGTGGTCCATAAGCCATGAAAGAGTCATGTGGTGTCGTAAGGTGGGAGCTGACTATGCGAAAATTTTTGGATCTCAGATAACCCGCAGAGTTAAAGAAGTAGGGCAAGGGCTTGCCATGTTCAAGCGCCATCTGTTTTAAACCGAACAAATGGCGATCCACGCCACGTCCCTGGTGCGCCAGCATTGTCTGATGCCGATGAGCGTCCACTGCGGTGCGCATTGCCAACCAGGAAGCCCTAGGTGTGGCATTTTCCGAAACCATGGTAAGCACAAAGTTCGAAGATTCTGTGGAAGTTGAACGTATGACTTCGCTGCGTCCATTTTTAAAGATGCGCAAATGTGCCGATCCGTGCTGGACGGGCAGCTTCTTGTGCTGCCTATAAAAGGCCAGCTGCAGTGCCATCTGCACAAAGCTATCCGGTGCAAGTCCGTGGGATTTGATGAAGCTTTTGCCGTAGCAATCAAACTGGAAGGCATGCAGCTTCAAACGTCTAGTGATTTCTTTTATGTTGAGCTTCGCCGCCGTCAACCAGAAACCGACGCATTCGTCGACTTCCGCAAAACTAAGGTGTTCCACCAGCTCAGCTGGGTCCGTGGTGTGAGAGTCCTTTCCATATTCCGGATTGACACTAATTGCATAAGAGATAACCGACTCAGCAAATACTGTATAAATGAAATTTACATACATACATGTTCTTTAATATATAGTCCATAATGCTGGCCGCCGGATACGGCTCCGCGGCCGCATGCTCACAGCAGAAGCCGGCCATACCATTGGGATTGACAATCAGCTGCAGTGTCTTGTCCATCCAGCGATTGGCACTATTTATGTGCAAGCCGCCGCCATGCAAAAGCTGAGCAGCCAGCATGGAACGCTCCTGGCCTTCAGGCACCTCAACATATTCGTCCAGCGAGACTGTGAAGAGCGCCCGTTCGATGCACCGAATCGCATAGGCATCGAGCTCTTTGCGACAAAGCATTTCACGGCCTTCGGCCCAGTTGTTGCGTGTGTCGTGGGTGAGCAGACCAATTGCTGGGCCCTTGGGACATCCTGAATTAATAAGTTCCACCAAGTGCCTTCTGATCTGAAACACGTTATACACATATTTTTGCTTCGTGCAGTAAACGGGTAGCTTGTAGAACTATTGGATAAATATAAGTTAAGATAAGCAGTTTTTTTTTTTTCAAATCTCCAAGGAAGCTTACATTATTCTTGTGTATGACAACAACATATTTGGATCCGAACTGTTGCAGGACATCGCAGTTGCGTTGCGGTTTGCGGACCGTGCCAAATACTTTGTGGAGTTGGCTATTATCCAGCTCAAAGCCATCCAATCTGGATACGGGTATTCGATTGCTCTCCACCAGATTATTGAACTCGCACATGGCATATATGGCCTTGGCCGTAAAGTCCAAAAATTCAAAAGTACTACGAAAATGTTGCTTAGGAAACGCCATGCAAGGACTGGAATAGACAGTTAGTGGTGAACGATGACGCAAGAAGGTGACATTTATCCAGCGCTCGGTGAGCCAGTTGTCATCAGTTTGTCCAGCTTCCTGAAGCAGCTTTTGCAGTTCACATCCCTTGTTCTGCAGAAAGTCGCGTGTCAGCTTCTGCTCCATTTCAAAGGCCTTCTCGTTGAAAAGCGGTTGCAGGCTGTTTAAATAACGATTGAGGGTCAGCTGCAGCGGTATAACAGGATAATTGGGTAATTGGTCTTTCAGACGAGGCAGCATCACTTGGCCAGCTTTAATTGAGCGCAATGGGGTAGCTTTGCGCAGGTGTCGAGTGGGCTTATCTGCGGGCAGAGCGTATGCCTGTGCACAGATACTTGCTGTTGAATGTGGGCCGGGGAAGATATCGGACTCTGATCCTCGCATATCTGCAGAACGGGGATTTCGGGTCGCTTTACTAACTAGATTTGCTGTTAAATGTGGGCCGGGGAAGATATCGGGCTCTGCTCCTCGTATATCTGCAGACCTGGGATTTCGGGTCGCTTTACTAACTAGATTTGCTGTTAAATGTGGGCCGGGGAAGATAAGCGACTCTGCTCTCCGTATATCTACAGAAGCGGGATTTCGGGTCGCTTTACTAACTTGGTTTTTTGATTGATTTCTGGTTATTGATTTTTTTCTTATTTTGGCCAATAAATTAGCATGCTGTTGTTTGTTTTTCACTTCGCTGATTTTGGCATTATCCTTAGGTGATGTTAAAGTTGGTTGTGCCTGAAATTGTTTTACCCATGTTTTCACATAGAAAAACAGTTTTGCAACAAGGCTCCTTTCCTTTTCGGGCTGAGTTTTAATCGGCTTTGTGTGCTCGTTGTTATTCTGTTTGCCATAATTACGAGAATTTCCGTTGCACTGCATGGGCCGAGCTCGGATTAGAATCATTTAAGTATTTTCCTGCTGCACACTTACTATGCTCAGGAAACGCTCAGTTTTGATTAGGGCCCGCATGATACAATTTGGAGAAGAATCGAAAGATTATAGCAAATTTAGACTCTAGACGAAATAAATAACGCAAACTAGATGTGTACAGATGAGACTTACTGAGTTTGGGACTGATGTGTGCGTGGTTATTATTAAAATACGGGCGGGACTTTAATTGCACTTGAAATTTAAGCAACAGTGTAAAAAATAATTTTTTTGGGCACTACAGTTTGGACTTCTTGGGTTCCTTGTCAAGAACTGCCTCCATTTCGAGAAAAGCTTTTGTTAGTGTCTGTGCAAACTTGTCCGGGTCCGTATCAGGATTTGATTTCCACGCAGAGATTGCGAGTATAATATCGCATTCGCGAGGATTATAACAACAGCCATAGCCGTCAGGTGTGGCCGGACCGTAGCCCATGAAGGCATCGTACAATGTGGCCACCTGTGACGTGGACATACGATAGTGCATGGACTTTTTATAGCCCACAGACGAGTAGAATCTGGGTACTGGCATCTTATTTTCCAATGCCATCAACTTCAGACCCAGCAGATGACGGTCAACGCCGCGTCCCTGGAGCGCCAGTCTAGTATACGCCTGATGACTACTGACCGCCTCACGTAACAGTTTGGCGCGCATCTCCACAGATGCATTTTCGCTGCTCATCGCCTTGCAAAAGGCTAACGATTCATTCGAGCAGGAGCGTATTGTTTCCGTGCGTCCATTCTCGAAAATACGCAGGTGCGCTGATTCATATTGGGCAGCGGGTTCCTTGTGCATTCTAATAAAAAAACGGATAGCATTAAATATTTGGATAGAACTTCCATTTAAATGGTCTCTACTTGTAAAAAGCCAGCTGTAGGGCCATCTGCACATAGCTATCCGGACCTAGGCGCTTATTTTTGATGTATTCCTTGCCATAGGCATCGAACTTTAGCACTTTCATTTGCAGATCATGAACAAGGAAGTCGACATTACGTTTAGCATAGAATATCCATTGCCCAACGCATTCGTTTAGTGGACAGAATTTGATCTTTTGTGGCTTATCACCAGCCTCAGAGGAGCCGCATTCACCAAACTTCTTGTCGTCGCTCCTAGAAAATGTCAATTAGAATTTAGAGAAACGAATTTAATAGAGCGATAATTAACTAATTAATACTTACATTTTCTTTACCACATAATCCATCATCATGGCAATGGGCTGCCCCTCAGCTGGGGAATGCTCGTAGGTGAAACCAACGTTTCCATTTGGATTGACCACTAGTTGAATGGTTTTGTCCATCCAACGATTGCCGCTATTCGCTCTGCTACCTCCACCATGAATCAGCGACAGGATCAGTTCATTGGCCTGGTCATCGGGCTTGAATGAAACGCATTCATCTAAGGAAACAGTGAATAGCGAAGTCTGTATTGTTTGAACGGCCTCCATATTTTGGGGATTTGCGACCAGATGCCCATAGGCCTCAGCCCAATTGTCGCGCGAGTCTGTGGTGAGGATGCCATAGGGTATACCAATTTCGTTTTCCGCATTCATTATTATATCCAACTGTTTGGCCAGCGCTGGAGCAGACAACAGTTTATCGTTCTTGTCGTACAGGCTCAATTTGTAGAACTATTGGGTTAAATATATGTAAATAATAAATGGATGCTAAACTTTCAAGTACGCAGACTTACATGATTTTTATAGATGACCACCACATGTTTGGAACAGGGATTATATACAATCTCATCCGTGCCACGTCGTGGTATACGACAGGTTCCAAATACCTTGCCAAACTGACTATTATCCAGCTCATTTTTGCCCATCTTGACAACTGGTATTTTACCAGTATCTACAATGCCTTTAAATTCGCCGAGGCCAAAGATCACTTTGGCCGTATAGTTAACGAAGGCACGTTTATCATAGAACTTTTGTGCTGGAAATGTCATGCCGGGACTCACATAGACGGTGACCGGATCACGATATTGCAGATAGGCCGACTTCAGCCAGCGACCCGCCAGCCAGTTGGACTCTTTTTTACCCGCCTCCTCAAGCAACGCTTGTAGCTGATCGCCCTCTTTGTCTCTAAATTCCTCCGTTATTTCCTTTTGCTGCTCAAACTCTTCCGGCGTCAGCAGAGGCTGAACACTGCACAGGAAACGGTCCAGAGTTTCATCCAGAGGCAAGACATGGTATTTCAAAAGATTCTGCTTTGGTGCCGTATTTAGCCGCCTTTGCGGCTGCTCGGAACTTTTGCTCCCATAGCTGGCAGGCAGCAGCTTGACAAGAACATTCGAACTTTGATTTGCTTTGATGGAGCATTTGGTCTGTAAGGCGGATGTTAGTTTGGATTGGGCTCATAGTTGGCAATTACTCACCAAGTTCCAGAAGACACTTCTGTTCAGCAATCTCATCTCGGATTTGAGCGAGCTGTAAGAACGCGAAAGAAAAAATTAAGCTCAACAATATAATAATCCAAAGGTTATTTTGCTGTGGGCTTTTTTATATTGTTCACCTTTGATAAGTGTGCATAATCGTTAAGGATTGCGATAAAAGAGGCGTTTAGATTAACGCTATCGACGACACAGCACTTGGCTTGGTCCACGTAAGCAGAGTGCAGTTAGCAATTGATATCAGACAAAACACGACCGGTTTTCTTTAACCAATTTTTAAACTGCGCTGTCGCAGTCCCAGTCGCTGCTGTTGCTGCCTGGTCGCTGCTTTTGTTATCGCTGCCAACGCTGGCGTCGGCGTCGGCGCCAGCGGCGGCATCGAAAGTGAGAGCGTTTTGTGCAATGTCTTGCGACTTGTTGAGCTCTGTTTTGCTATCGTTATGCCTTTACTTACCCTTCGGCGCTCTTTGCGACTTCTCTTCTGTAGTTGTTGTGCACTTTTTGGATGTTATTGGATCGAACAATTTTGTGACATTTCCAAAATAATTATGAATCAAAATACTACAAATAGTAGTCAACCTGTTTATCCAAAGTACATATTATGACTATCCGCAATAGTGGTGGAACTCTAACGATAGTAGCGTGCGATGAATACTGAATAGCGATTGCACTGAGTACATTTTGTAGAGAGGGAGTGAATTCTGTTAACTGGTGGAGCTCTGTTAAGAAAACAGTGTAGTTGAATGCGCCAAATTCCAATTTAGAATTGTTCATTGACCACCACCAGATACTTCGTTTGAAGGATTTTCTTTTTAAATAATTTGTTTATTACAGTTTAAATGGTAGAATTACATGGTCTAAGGCTAAGATATTAATTCATTGTGCAGACGCTTTTCTTTGTTATGCGTTTGCCCATAAATTCTGCTTCAATACAAAAATCACAGCAATTCTTAGCATAGATTACGCACTTGAACTACAATTGTTGTGCAAATTTTCTTATTCGACTTTCATTATTATAACTTGCTTTAATTCATATTTAAATTCAAATTATTTTTGGCACCTCATGGAGGTGACTTGTTAACTTAATTAAGCGAACGTAACTTAAAATCTGCTTAAATTCGATATAAATAACGCCATAAAAATGTTAGTTTTTTGTAAAAAGAATCAGCACTATTTGTGCTGTTTGGTATATACAGAGGATATACATACATCGATCTTTTGTTGTTTAAAGCTATCACAGTAAAAAAAAACCAACACTTGGCTTTCATATTATTTACACTATATAAAATGCTATATAAAACCAAAAGCGGCGATGCCGATGCCCAACCAAACTAGCACACTAAAATGCACTTGCAAATATGCACATGCATCATCTTAAGGAAACCGAAAACCTAAGTTAAATACTAGAATGGTGGCTTAATTCTACACGTGCTTAATGGCATCCGTCCCGTCTAATTTATCGGACTGCGTAAAAGGTGTCCAACTCTTGCTGCTATGCTCGCTGTCCATATTCACATGCGAACTGGAACTGTTTGTCGATGCGGGCGACGAGGCAAAGCCGCTGCTGGTCAAACTGACGCCCAGCTGTAAATGCAAAGAAATTTCATATTGTTTAATTAGTATCCAACCATTCAAGTGTATGCAAATATTCGAAAAAGAATCAACACGTGTGAGTCCCAAAGGCAATGCTTGCCCCGAAAACTGGTTTGAGGCTTCGCCTGTCGCCGACAGCCTCCAAACCTAATCAAATTCATCTAACGCACTCGTAAATTCGACTATAAGCAATAGCGCGACGGAATGAACGTTCGCCACAGACTAGTTAGACAGCTTGGCGTCGATTTCCTTACACCGTGCCGGCACCATTAGATCGAGCATTTATTTGCTCGCCCCTAATAAGTGACATAACATATGCCGCTAGTTGCTTACCTGTTGCTTTGTGCCCGTTTTGCTCGGACTGGCTGCATTCACATCCATATCACTGCCATCGAAGCAACCTATGCAAACATCATCTGCATGCTCTACTTCTATGCACGAACTGGATGTGGTGGAGTTGCGGCTGAGGGTAACAGTATCGCTATCGTTGCCCTCATCGCTGCTCTCCGCATCGGAGAGCGCTGGCTCCAGCTCTAGGGCGTAGGCAGACGGTCTTCGCTCCTGATAGTCCTCCTCGCTGGCCCGTATAATAACATGTTTCTTTGCGGCAGGTATATCGTCCAGCAGCTTAAGCTCACAAGGATTATAGACTTGATTGCCACCGCCAACGATGCCCCCGCTGCCAGTAAGATTCTGCAGCAGATTGGCGCGTGCATATTTACTATCCGAAATGTTGGTCGCCTGGCGTGTAAAGCTGGACATGTGTAGAGTGGCACGTGTTATGGCATATACCAGCAGGCCCACGCCCAGCACCAAAGCACCCCAAAAGCCTAAGGGATTGACTAGCGGTAAGATATTCAAGTAGAAGCTGAAACGAGAGTCAAGCTCGTCTGGCAGCTTAGGCATCATCTAAAAAATAAACGAAACCACATTATAGACTCTGATGCGTACGTAAATGGACGTGCTTCACTTACAATCTCGAACCACAGCATTGGGGCGGTCAGATGACTAAACTGTGAAACTTGCGGATAGTTTTTCAGATCCTTGAAATGCATGTTGATTTGCACTTTTACGGACAGCGATAGCGGCAGACCAGATTCCTAAAAAACGGTAGTAAGGTGTTATTGTGTTGTTGTTAAGTGTCAAGTACGACATCATTTCGGCTGTACTTGGCCCAATTTAATTACATTTAATTTAATTGCTTAAATATAGGCCTGGTTGCGCCAGTTGTCCTTAGGTAACATTTTGTTTTCAACTTCAAGCATTTCGCATTCTCTCGCCGCTTATTGAAACAAGTATTACTCGAATCGAAATTGCTGCTATTGAAAAAATGATCGATTCACAGCGTCCGCTTGATATTTATTTTATGTATTCAGATGTAACATGTTTAACGACCAGCAAGTGTTGTTAAGTACTTTAACTAACTAGTGTTGTAGGTGCACAAGAATCATCGAATTAGAAAACAACAGTAAGGCGTAAGCTATTGTGAATTTGTTTTTATTCACAACTCCAAATGAAGGTTGCACTTACATATATGTATGTATGTAGGTATGATTGTTGTGATTTATGCATGCCAATAAAAATCCGTTAGTTAATCTGACGCGCACTTATAATCTTATTAACTTCCTGTTATACATAAATTTATTTCGCCTTTAAGAAAATTTGCTTAGTCGTGACTAGCCGTATTTACGCTAAACTTAATTAGCCGGAAGTGTAAGTTTTGAAATAATCAACTAAGATAAATTTCAATAATAAACAATTAGCTTCCACGCGATTTCAATCAGTTGGAAGGTAAGCGCGAAAATAAAACAGGTGACGGCAACAACAACAAAAATGCTAACAACTTTAGCATGATTAACTCAAATATTTAGTACAGGTTAATTGTAACACTCAATGTGAATTTTAATTAAATATTGCCTATATTTTTGTACATTTTGTTAATCGTTTTTTTTCAGATACGATTGCTACGAATCATGATTGACAGTTGTAAAATTGAAAGTTGCCGCTATTAATGCAACATCAACAGCAACAACAACAACAACAACAAGGCAACTTGTTGTGGAGACTTCAAGGTTACTTACCGGTTGGATGACAAAGGCTGAAGAATGCTTTTCAGGATCAGGCTGCATGCCGGTAATGTTCTCGACTAGGCCAACATCGCCATTCATGAAATGTGGAAAGCTTAGAGAGATGGGGAAGCCATAATAACAGTCCGTGACGTCAATCAAGCCGACCGGCTGGCAATCGCCTGCAAGCAGAAGAAGAAGAAGAAGAAATGCAAATTACAATATTCGTTTGTGCGTGTGTGTTTTTGTTTGTTTGTTTGTTTTTTTTCGAGGCGACACGAACGGAACAACTGTTACGTTATTGTACCCCCCGCCTCCCGCCCCTTTTTGCAAGTCGGCCTCTAGCGTGTCTCGAAATTCTGACGCACTGTTTTTCGTAGTAACTTTGATAAATATCATTACAAGACGAAAACAAAAATAAAAACGAATTATTGTTTTGCAGCATGCGAAGCGCGTTGTCGCCAATCGCGTCACAGCTTAAATAATTACTATGAAGTATTTTGGAGGCTCAGTGAAATAGCATAAAGTCGCGTTTAGCAAGCCGTGCACTTGAAAAATATTCCATGTCAACTGATAAACGGAATAATACGAGGGGGCTATCAATTCGCCAGCGCAAGCGGGTACGCTTAAAAACAAGAATTATTTGCGCTTTGTACTGGGCAATTAAATGAACTGACGCCGATCGTAAAGAATGAGACTTAGGTCGCTTGATGTAATTCAAGACACAACAGAATTTATATTACATAAATGCATTGAAGTACTATTAGTAAAGTTCCAGAAAGTTATTTAATTGTAAGGGCAATTAAACTGAAATGTGGTCCATTGGAATACTGTTGCCAACTTAACTGATTCAACTTATTTAGCTCACTTACCTCTGCGGCAGAAACATTTGTTGGCCTCATTTATGGCACCATTGTCAAAGGCATTCTCCTCGAACACATAGTTATAACCCTTCAGACTACCAAAAGTGCGCTCCTCACCATCTCGATACTGTGAAAAAAAAAGATTATAATCAAACGATTATTATCACGCTCTAAATTAGTTGTACTTACCAAGTTAATGGGCCTGCACATACTCTTTCTGAAGAACTTTACTGTATCGTTGGGTTGTATGAAGCTTCTGAACTTGGTACCATCGGAGGCATACTCAATGTTGTTGCAATGGTCGCCCTCCCATTGGGGCAGCCTAGTCTCTCCACGATAGGTGGCATACAGGCCCGACATGGCCGCATCTGGCACGCCCGTATAGAACGTCTCAAAATCCGTTGAGAAGTCATACATGCGATCGATCAGTCCGACCTTCTCGAACGATATCCAGTTGGGCAAGAGCGTGTTGCCCAGCGTGGCCAGTGCAGAGGGAAAGCCGAACATGAACTCCTTAGCGGTCATTCTGACAATGGGCTCCGATTTCGTGCTGGCAAAGAGTCCTTGCAGTGGCAAGCGTACGAAAAAATAATTACGATCGGCAGTTAAATGGGAGATAGCCTGGAAAACAAGAAGAAGAAAGATTTAAGTATGGTCATGCATTGTTTCTCAACTTGAAAGGATAACGTATTGGCACGTGTGCTTGACAGGATATATCACAGCTCGCGTTAGGATATATGACATCACTGCGTGCTAGAGAACCAGTCTATCAACGGCTCGTTACAGCCGCCTTTAGTTGTAGTCAGTAAATATAGCATTTAATGAACAATAATTATTGACTTCCTGTGCAGCAAGTAATATCAGTAACTGCTAGTTAGCGCAATAGACTGACAGACTCTTGACAGACTGGGCCCAATGCATTATTCATCGATTTGGGCCTATTTTGCACCCGGTTGCTAGACGAAATCAAACCAAAAAGGCGAGCGTGTGTTCTTGTTCATAACGTTTTTTCTTCTTATTTTTCGACCGATTGGCATAACGTAACGTAATCTGGAAATTGGCATTTTCACTTTTTGTACGCGGC